TCAAAGATTGCAGGGAGCAAAAGCGTTATGGAATGACACCCCTCAAGAAACCTGTGGATCTTCAGAGATTGAATGAATTGGTGTCAATTGGGTAAGTGGAACCAGAATAATGTATTTATTTTTCCAATCACTGATTATTATTTTTTTCTTTTCCTTCCTTTTTTCTGAAATCAATTCTTGTTGTTAACTTTGTCATCAGTATTATTTTCTCACTAGATGTCACATTTAGTCTTAGTCTTCAAAAGTTGAAAATAAATATTAAAATATGAAGAACAGAAGGTGAAATTAATGTAATTACATATGGCTCTGACTCTTGAATTTTTTTTCCCCCCTGAAATTTTAAATAAAAAGTGAACCAAATGTTGTCATCTGCCTTGAATCCAATGCCTTAATGCAGTTCAACTTCGTCCCACATTTCCTGGGCACAGTCCCATTTCTGATACATTGATCGATAATGTTTTGGCTGTGTTTGATATCTGGATTAGGTTCACTATGATTATGAATTCGGTGGGATTGAGTGATGGGATTACTAATATGGTGGTATTAGGTTGGAAATGTGAGATTAATTGCATTTGTTTGTTTACTATGGTAAATAGTTACATGCTCGTGTTTGTTTTGCTTTAATTGGTTGAGATTAAATCTATGAAATTATTTAAAAGCTCTCATTACATAAAAGTCAGCTTTGTGCATTGAAAAAATAATAGCAGCTTTGTTGTTTTTGTAAATTGGGGGCAAAATAGTCAGCTTTTGTTCAATTTAGCATATCAATAAAGCTAGTCTTCTCTTTTATAACATACCCATGCTCATCTAGAAGGATAAGTGATTTATCTAATGGAAGTTCTCATTGGCGTTTCTTAAGGATATGAAGTCTTTGAATCTCTTGTAAGGCGATAATGGTTATTGCTGGCAAATCTATTCTGTTTTAATTTTTCATTTTCATGCTCCTTAATTGCTCTTGTACAAAACTAATATAACCATGTGGTTATGTCTTGCAGAATTCTGAGGAATAACAATATTTCTGGATCTATCCCATCCAATATTGGAGATTATCACTAATGACATGGCTTGTAAAATCGAGCACTGACATGCACTAGTATGTCAAAATCTGACTCTAGCAGATAGTTGAGCAGTAAAGAAAAAATCTAGTGAGATGTTAGTGCTGGTTAGCAAACTGTTAGCTAGCATTTCAATTGATAACGAATCCCTATTCTGCAGTGTAATGATGTGTAATATGCTTGACTATTCCATTGCATCTGCATGTGCAAGCAAATGACTTAACCTATTTTTTTTTTATTTTTTGATTGTGTTTGTTGTTTGATTTTGGTTCAGACACAATCATGTAATGTTTATTTAGTCAATATATTGAAGTAGCTGTAAAATTTTATTCATATTATTGTTATTTTTCAGCTTTATTAAAGGTATGTTTTTTAGTTAAATATAATAGATTCAGAACAATTTTTTTTTTTAAAAAAGAGCTATAACGGCGTTTTTCAAAACGCCACTACAGTGCCAACGGACATTTTTTTTAAATAAAAAAATCTATCACGGCGTTTTAAAAACGTCGCTAAATATTGGATGACGTCATTTTATCATTATTTATCGCATTTAGCGGCGTTTTTTAAACGCCGCCTATACTAATTTTACGACGTTTTAAAGCATCATAAACTTATAGCGACGGCCGCGTCCTCGACGTTTGGTGAAAGCGTCACTAAAGTAATTAGCGGGGTTTTTCATACATATAGCGGCGTTTTTAAAACGCCGCTAAAAGTCATTTTTCCAGCAGTGAACTTAGGATATATTAGATCATATCTGGAGGTTTTAGATTTTTTCGAATAGCGTGGAGTGGGTTTTGTAATTTTCAAAGTTAGCGAATAGATTGGGAAAACTGTTTTAAACACTGTTTTATCTTAAAGTTATTTTTAGTTAAGTTTCGATCGGAACCTATGTCTTGGGTGATTTTAGACCTTGAAGAACATGAACTTAGATAATATTTAAGAGTAACGGTGAGTTGGGTTGAGCCGTGTTAGTGCGCTTTAGTTTGGGGTTACTTAGTTCGTATTCTTTAGTATTTTTAAATTAGTAGTGACGTGTAGTTTCATATTGGTTCAGGGCACTAGTTGGACTTTCATACTCTATTCGAGGATTATATTATTTCGTTTCCAGGTGAGTAGTTTCATGCTACATATTTTTATAAAATGTTCCCCTACCCTGAACTGTTGGAAAATTAAATTGTTGTTTCAAGACTAAACTGTTTTGATAAATTATTATATTATCAACGGAATCAAATTATTTTTGAAATATGTGTGAACTTGGCATACTGTAAATTATTTGTTTTGGTCTCATGTTTATAACGATGAACTACCATGTTTTGTGAAACTAATGTGTATTAATTATTGGGACCATCTGTGTTTTTAGTCTGGGAAATTATTCCACTGTGTGTGGTGACTCTGGCCACTAGGGAACAGATCCGGGTTGGCCGTGATGACTCTAGTGCTCAACGATTGTAAGGAAAAGACCTTAAAAAAAAATCTAGGTGACCTTCAATCGGATCGTCTTTGAGAAAAGGCCCAGGTGCCACCCTGAGGATGACTCTTAGTTCGATATTGGATCCAACGGGGCTTATAGCCTTGAGAACTGTGTGGCATATTATTTGTTTTTCTTAGTACCCAGAAAATTATTGGTGTTTATGTATTAATCTGTTTTAATTGGAAAATGTCGTTTATCAGTTCTTGCGAGACATGAGTATTTTAAGTGTTGAACTGTGGAACCTTCTTTTTGAAACAGATTGTATTTACCAAACTGTATGCCAATCTAGTTTCTGTGATATATATCTTATTTTGGAATTGAACCATGTTTTCAAAACTGTATTTACTATCCATTTTGCTACTCACTAAGCTATCAGCTGACTTAGTTGTTTACCATTTTCCAGGTGTTAGAAGGACTTAGAGTGGACCATGGCGTAGCGGGATCAATTGCATGGACCTCTAGGGCATTCTTTAGTTTAGAGTGTTATGTCAAGTTAGTCCATATTTATATTTATTCTTATCGAAGTTCATTTAGGATTATTTTTTTTATGTGGGTTATTTATATCCCATAAGTTTGGCTGGTTTTTATTACGGTTGATTTTGCCGTTTATAATTGTGACATGTCTGGATTGAGTTTTGGTTATTTATTATTGGACTATTGTTCAGTTGTTCAATGTGATTGGATTCGTGTTTAGGCTTACGTGTGCCTTGGCAAAGTCCCTGTGGGCCACGGCCGTGATGCCCGATTTGGGGTGTGACACACATGACAGATGTGCTCGTGGCCCGACACGCGGCATACAGGCCCAGCACATTGTCGATAAGGATGGAAAGATGTTAGTTCCTATACCTGACCAGTTTTGTGCACCAGTTGGAGATAAAGCCTCTAAGTTGGCCTCCAAGATTGGTATAGAGGTTCGAACTCAGTTACCAAGACTGAGCGTTCGTAGGTGGAGAAGGTGAACGATGCTAATAAGGAGCCGATGATCCAACGCTTGCGTAATTATGTCAAACTCTTGTTTTTGAAGTTGTAGCATTGTTTGTGATAAGGCTTCAAATAATAGTGTAGCATAGGTGTTTATTGTAGTTTGTTCCTCAGTTATGCTCAAGTTTTTGCTTCTTGTGTGAAATAACTACTCTCTTTGTTAGGCTAAGGCTTGAATATCAAGCTCTGAACCTATATTTATTTATTTATCAATAATATATCCATGTTACAGCTACGGAAGTAGGTAAGTACATGGATGTTGTGAACTTAGATACAAGTTTTGGGCACATGATTTATCTGCTTGTTAAATTTCCCTCATCTCATCCTTAAATTTTAGAAGTTGTGATTGTAGTTGAGCTATCAATGTGTCCAATTTTTCTTTGAACACCTGTGCGATATGTTACATAATTCCTCTCACGAGGGTGAGTATGGAAGAGGCAGTTTGTTTCCTATTTGGCAGTTTTTTTATTTGTATAAACCTTTGATGGGTGATATGACATGGTCATTGGCATGTTGAATTTGACAAACTAGATTGAAATCAATATTCCTTTTGATTTGTTTATTATTTCTCATCTAATGGCCTCTTCTCTCTCCATTATGCTTGGGACCTGTTTAGAGTTCATAGGCCTAGAGTGACTTGGCATAGGCTCATTGG